TAAACATTCAAATTTGGTCCCCTAGAAAATGTGTCTGTTCATTTTTGCATCATCAAAGTGATGTTATTTCTGTGCCCTCTCAGCCTGTTGTTCTGCAAAACCAGCACAGACCTGTGAGCTGCAGCCACTTCTGAACAAAACTGAGACCAAGTAGGTTTTGATAAGAGACTTTGATTAACTCTTCCATATTTGTTGATTCCCAGCTGTGATTTAAGGGGCACAGTGTGGGGGGACCCACCGTGCTACAGGAACACGAGCTGGCTGAATGACTCTGCTCACCCAAACTCAGCCTGTGCACTGCCTGTACATTGATATGTTGGAGTTTTTAAGTCCTTGGGGGGACACACACAGATATCTCAAATTTTTGTTTTCCTCTCTGAAAAATATCTCAGATATATCAGAGATGAAGAGGAATTTTCACAGAGAACATAACTCAGGAATTTATTGGGGCAGAGGGCACACAAGACAATAAGTAATAGTAAAAATTCACTGATTGTTTACTGGGTGGGTTGGATTTGTTGGATATTCCATTAAACATTTATTAAAATCCCACCAACTTGCAGGGCACAGGGGTAATCTGGCTGCCTAAAGAAAACATAATCACTGTAGGGGCAGCTCCAATCTTTGCTCCCTGTGAGCAGTGACAGCCCCCAGGGAATGGCTGGAGCTGTGTCAGGGCAGGCTCAGGTTGGATCTCAGGGAAAGGTTCTTCCCCCAGAGGGTGGTTGGCACTGAACAGGCTCCCCAGGGCAGTGGGCACAGCCCCAAGGCTGCCAGAGCTGCAGGAGGGTTTGGACAACGCTCTGAGGGACAGGGTGGGATTGTTGGGGTGTCTGTGCAGGGCCAGGGGTTGGACTGGATAGTCCTTGTGGGTCCCTTCCAACCCAGAAGATTCTATGAATCCGTGATTCTATAATTAGTTTTTGTTCTTGACCTTTCCTGACTTTCAGCTCTAAGTGACACTTTGGGGGCTCTGATCCTGCATTTCAGTCACTTGAGCCTTCTTTTTGGGAGTTGCTTTTGTTTTCATTCTGTATCTTTTCTTTCGCTGACTGTAACTCTTTCAGGTCTCAACATCTGGGGGCATTTAATGGCTTTGACACAAAGAGAAAGTCTCAGGAGGTTTTGTCCTTGGGAAGTTCCTCCTCTGGGGTTGGATACCTCACTTGCCTCAGGCAAGAGACACCAGGAGCCTCAGTCAGGACATGGGGTTTTCTTGCCAGGGCATTTCAGCAGCACTGGTGGTAAAGCAACAGAATTTGGCAAGGATGCCCTGCAAACCTCACCAGCAAAGCCAGTGCTACCTCAGCAGCCCCTGAGCACCGCTTTTGTTGTGATCACAGCAGATTCTGAGTGCTGGAGGCACAAAGGAAAAGGAGAGAATGAACAGAAAGTAGTTTATGGTTTTCCTCAAAGGCACTTTTCTAACTCAGAAATATAAGCCTTGTGGTTTATATGGTTTTGAAATGTAACCACAGATCTTGAGAACTGGAAGACATTTGATTTACCAGCTCTTCCAATTTTGGTATCAGATTCAGGGCATTTCTTTTCAGAATGAAAAATGTTGAGAGGAAATATATTAATGTCAAAATGTTTAAAACAGGAACATGCTATTGGGAGAAACTGTCAGAGGAATGACTCAGAGTTATTTGTGTCTGGATGGAGTGGGCACAGATGTGTCTTTTTGAGATCTCCACCAACGTTCTATAACCTTGTTCTGGTGAGGGTTAGCCAGGTGTTTTATGGTCTGCAAGCCCCTTTTTGGCTCCACACATCTCAGCTGCTGCAGTGTGGCAGAGCTGGCCATCCCTGCTGCTCACAGCTGGAGCAGGGACAGCTGATCTCTCTGACTTGCCACACTGGGTTTTTTTGCTGGTTTGCATCCTTGTTTTGTTGATTTTGCTCATTGAATGTCCCTTGCTAACAGCTGCATATCTCTTCAGGATGTAGGAATCTCAGCAGGATTTAACTTCTCTTCAGCAGTGGCTATTCTGGGTGTTCTTCGTGGGACATATGAAGGTGCTTTGCTGGCCATGCCTTGTTCTTGTCCTGAGTCAAGCCCAGATGCACTTGTGGTTCAGTTCTGACCACTTGGTTTTCAGCCACTTTGCTTTTTTCCTCCTTTCCTTGTATTTCTTCCTCGCTCCCTTGTGAGTGGAGCAGTTGTCTGCTCTCCAGATTTCTCTGGAAGGCTTATGAAACTCCCTGTAAGGTCCTGTTGTTTTTCCTTGGATATCCTGGCATCAGTTTATTGCTGCTTCTCTCCTTCCTTCTGCGATGTGGGTGAGCAGGAACCTGTCTGGTATTCCAGTGGGAATATAGCATTAGTTATTAGTTCTTCATCAATGCCAAAGACATTCGTTTTTCATTTTTGGGTGCCAGGGGAACCATGAGGAGGCCAGTCCTCCAAAGAGGTCCTGCAGGACACAGAACAGATGAATTGTTCATTTCTTTCAGAAGACAAAATTATGTGAACCTTCACATTTCCATCTTCTGTCCCAGCTGGAGAGTAACTGGATGCAATAGCTCAAAATCCAGCATGAACTGCAGCATCCCTCCTCTCTGGTGGGATGAGACAAGGCCATGATGTGGCTTTGCTGTCCTGTTCTTATTTGGCTCTGGTGCTATTGCATGTGGGTTATTTTGTTATGTTTAGCCTCTGACTGTATTTCATCCTTAGATCCTTACAAGCCTTACCAGGTAAGGAAGGGGGCAGCCCTCTGACCACCAACGGGTGATTTCTCAGAGTTTCTCTTGTTGTTCAACCCCTGCCCTCTGGCAGTGGGAAGCCATTCCCCCTTGTCCTGTCCCTCCATCCCTTGTCCCCAGTCCCTCTCCAGCTCTCCTGGAGCCCCTTTAGGCCCTGCAAGGGTCTCTGAGGTGTCCCTGGATCCTTCTCTTCTCCAGGTGAACCCCCCCAGCTCTCCCAGCCTGGCTTCAGAGCAGAGGGGCTCCAGCCCTGGGAGCATCTCTGTGGCCTCCTCTGGACTTGCTCCAACAGGTCCATGTCCTTCCTGTGCTGAGGCCCCTGGAGCTGGACAGTGCTCCAGGTGGGGTCTGTGCAAATAACTGAGTTCTGGGTGCGTTCAGTGCCAGGGGCTGGGGAGGGGAAGGTGCTCCCCATGTACGTGTGGCTGCTCAGGGCCTTGTGGGCACCACACTGAGCTGGTTAAAACCGACTGGAGAGACCTTTCCATCGGTCTCTGTGTGTGTCAAACCAGTGAGTTCGGGTTTCAGTTGCAGGGAGGTAAGGCAGGAAAAAGTCAGTCAGAAAAGGGCTGGGTTTGTTGATTGAGGTTTAGAAAGCTTTTTAACAAGTTGAATTATTGGCTGTATCTGAAGTGAAACACTGCTCTCCTAACTGCTCTCATTTCCTGTATCATTCCAGCTTGTTCCCTGCATTAATTACAGCTCAGATTTACAGTGTATTTGGTTACACACTGTGTTGCATTCTAATTTTTTTTCCTGTGTGTGTATAAATTTCTTTGGGAGTCAGGCCAAAAGGAGAGTGTGCAGATATGCACCCACACACATGGGCTGAATTTGACTGTAATTTGCTAATTTAGTGGGGAGTAGGGATCTGGCTTTTCTTCTGTTTTGGTGTAAAAAGAGCCTTTTCTTTTTCCAGAGGAGGAGCAGTAGCTGAGAACTGCCAGTGTTTAGAGAGTTCAACATTTCAGAACAACCAGAGATGAGAGAAAATATTATCTTATGAATTGTAAATGTGGCATTTTTAATTTGGCTGGTGTTTCCCAGAGGTTAGTGGATAATGGGAATATTATCATGCTCTTGGCTCGACCAGTAATCAGCTTGCTACTTCAGATATTTTATAAATGCCGTGCCTCAGAGTTCAGTTGGATGAGGTAGAGCATTTCACAGCTGAGGAAGTTTTTTGTGACCTGAAATATGAAGTGTGATGGGATACTATGCATGAAATCTGGCATTTGGAAATGAGCTCTTTAGGAATTGTAAAACACAAAAGGTGATTGAAAGAAGGCTTCCTTTTCAGTTTAACATTTTCTTTTGGCTGTATGAAAACATAAGAGGAGGTGCACGAGAAGGAGTGTTTTTGGAGAGCTCATTCAGATTTTTAAATTCATTCTTCACATTTAAACTGTTCATGCCGTAGAGGATTTTCATTCAGAATATTCTGAGTCATGGTTTCATAAGTAAAGGATTGTGCATTAAATAGAACCAAATATCATTACTGCTTTTAAAATGAGTTATTCCTGAAACATTGGTTCAGAAATACTGGCAGGATGAGTAACAGTATGATGAATGATAATAGACACAAAAGAACAACTGACTTCAAGTTCTGCAATAACTAGGTGAAAAGTAAGAGGAAAATTCCAAATAACATTCTTTTGAAATACTGGGTCCCTCTTTGTTTAGCATTGCCACTAATCACAGCAGCATTTCATCTTCCCTCTTCCTCAGACACCTTTGCCCAGATCGCTCAGCCTGTGTCCAGCCCAGCCTGTCAAGGACAGACTCTCCCCTCCAGCACACGGGGCTGAACTGCTCCCAAATTCACCCGCTCCCTCCTCCATCCCCAGGTTGCCGTGAGGTTACACTTCAGGGCCATTCCTTCAACATCCTTGTGCTGATCATCCTTCCCGACCTGTGCAAGGTGTTCACTCTTGCAGGACGGTTCTGTTCCATGTGCAGAGGGCGGTGGGGGTGGCCGGGGGGAGGAGCAGAGCAGGACTGAGCTGTAACTGCACCAGGACAGCTCGGGAGCGTTGGAGCCCCCGGGGGTGCTGATAAAGCCGTGCATGGGTGATGGTGGGATTCGGCTGGGGTTTGGAGTGCAGGGGCTTAGCACTCTAATCCTGACTGGCAGTGGGAAGGTTGGTGGTTTCCAACACAGTGCACGGAGTAGCTGATTTCTCCCGGGTGAAACAATGCCCCAGTGTGTCTGGGCTGCCTCCACAAAGCCAATAAATCTGTTTTGTTTTGGTTTTCTCCCTCCTTTTCTCTCTCTCTTCCCCCTCCTCCAGGCCAGGACCCACTCGTATTGCTGAAAACCCTTCAGCTTCTCTGGACAAAGCAAGAGCTGAGGAAGGTAAGGCTGAGCCCCCTGGGTGACATGCAGAGCATGTCCAGGCACAGGTCAGACCCGCAGTCCTTCACGACTCTTTCACTCCAGCACACAGGGGAAGAGCCTGTGCATTTGCAGCTACAAGTGAAAAGAAAAGGTACTCTGTGTGATGTGGAGCAGCTCAGGGGCTCCTGTAAAAGAGCTGGAGTTTACAGGGCTGAGTTACAGAGGGAAAAAAATCAAAGTTACTTTTGTTTTGTTTTAAACACTTTTTTGTCCATTAAATGGAGGATCTTGGGGGAGGGGAGGGGGAAGAATATTTCTAGTAGCTGAAAAAAATGAGGGTTGAAGTCGGCAGAGAAGTGTTCTTTGCCAAGTGGAATGATATCAAAGCTTTTGTATTCAAAGTATTTTTTTTTCTGATTTGGTTTGTCTTTGGCTTTTAGAGTGGTGAGTTTACACTGCTTGGCTAAAATTAGTGCTGTAATTTTATACAGCAACCTATGGGCTCTACATGGAGATTTCTCTTAGGGAGTAAAATATATTTCATCTAAATCTTGGAGCTTGAAAACTAACAAAAACAGTAGGTGAATCAGCTGAGTGGTGGGTTTCCCATGTTTAACTCTCCGCTGTTCAGGCAGGTTCACAGCTGAGATGGTTTCTTTTCTGAAAGACCCAGGACCCTGCCTCTCCCCACACAACCCCGTGGAGTATGTCCTGTGTGGAATGGCCAGCGTGCTGAGGACCTGGTGGACGTGCTCCATTCTGGGTGTCTGCAGTGTTTAGTCATTGTCCTGAGCTGCTGCACTTAGACTTTCCATTACTGGTAGTCTGTGGTTCCCAGCTGGAATTATTAAAAACTGGAAACCCAGTGTGAGAGGTGTCTTTCCAAATGGTCACTCACCAAGGGACACTTGAGCTCAGCAACTCTAAAGCCTTGAGCTTTCCATCAAGTTTTGTTACAGTTGGAGGAAAAAAAATATTATCCTTTAGGTCTTGAGGGTAGTTAATCCCACAAAACAACAGTAGGAAAGGGTAATCATCAAAATTCTTTGCTCTGAGTACCCTGGGATCTGTGTGTGGATTGGGAAGAAAAATACTCTGGAAATGACAAAGCCTCCCATATATGTGTCACTGGCCAGGAAGCACCAGAGGATTCCTGCAGGAGGTGGAACAGCTGGAGGATCCCCAGGACTCACACTTGCAGCTCCATGTGTTCAGTTGGTTTGTTTCTCTAATGGTCACAGAATCACAGAAGGTTTGGGTTGGAAGGGACCTTAAAGCTCATCTCGTTCCACCCCCTTGCCATGGGCAGGGACACCTTCCACTAGCCCAGGTTTCTCCAAGCCCCATCCAACCTGGCCTTGGACACTTCCAGGGATCCAGGGGCAGCCACAGCTTCTCTGGGCAACCTGTGCCAGGGCCTGCCCACCCTCACAGCCAGGAATTCCTTCCCAATATCCCATCTATCCCTGCCCTCTGGCAGTTTGAAATCATTCCCTCTTGCCCTGTCATAGAATCATAGAATCATGTCCCTCCATCACTTGTCCCCAATTCCTCTCCAGCTCTGCTGGAGCCCCTTTAGGCCCTGCAAGGGGCTCTGAGGTGTCCCTGGATCCTTCTCTTCTCCAGGTGAACTCCCTCAGCTCTCCCAGCCTGGCAGAGGGGCTCCAGCCCCGTGACCAACTTAGTGGCCTCCTCTGGATTCATTCCAGCAGGTCTATGTCTTTCTTGTGTTGGTCATTACAGTGGAATGCAGCTCCCCAGTGGTGTGTGCAGGTCCCCTGGTCCCACCCTCCAGGCAGTGCTGTGGGGTGCTGGCACAGGCAGGAGTGTGTTTCTCCACCTGGGGGGTGCATTTCTGACCCTTAGTGAACCCTTTTCGGGGCCCATGGTGGGACCAACCAGTGAGGGGAGCTCAGCAGGAGTGTCCCAGTGGGTTCTGACCTGTGCTGGTCATGCTGTGACTGAGATGGGCTGATCCCTGCCCAGGACCAGGCACCCACAGCAAGTGTAGACTCTTGAGGGGAAGGGCTGCAGCTCAGGAGTGTTGTGCTGCTGCTGCTGCTGCCACCCCAATGTCCAGCCCAAATAACTGAGGGAAGTTGGTTTAAATACAGCTCAGTCTGCTCCACTGCCAGGAAAATGGCAGGAGCTTCTCTGCCTCTCACTGTGTGTGCCTGTGAGTGGATATTGTCTGTGATCTTGGAAGAATCAGCCCTTGGTCTCAAATCAGGGGCCGTTGGCAGGAGAGTGCCATGGCATGACCTCAGTTCTGGAACATGGGCATAAGAAATGGTCATTTCCTACATAGGAAAGACAGTTCTGGAATAACCAGGAAGCATCAGCAGACTGCCTGGAGCTGTGTGACTGGAAATAAGGGACCAGAGCTGAATGAAGAAGTGTGCAGTTTGAGCATCAGCAACATTTTCCTATTCCCATGATCTGTCAGGCTGTAGAAATCCCCCAAGGAGCATTCCCTGCCATGGGAATCAATTGAAATGGAAATGGCAGTTCTGTCTGAGAGGAATCCTTCTCTGGCAGAGGAATGAGCGAGGCAGCACAGCACTCTTTCCTCTCTGGTTTAGGTGTCTCATGCCCTTTCTGGTTTTGCTTTTTCCCCTCAGACTGCACACATCATGGCTGAAGGCTTCAGCTGGCTCCGAGGGCTGCAGGGAGGCTTTTTGCCAGTTTGCCCTGGTCTGGCTGGTACCAAGGCCAGACTCTGTCCAGATGAGCACAGTTCATGCTACTGGCAGTGGGGTCAGTGCTGGGAGCTGCTCTGCCCCTGCCAGCAGGACGTGGTGTCTGCTGGAACCCAGCCTGCCAAAGTGCAGGCTCGGACTGCAGCCCAAGGAGGAGCTGAGCAGGGCGGTGGAAGCTCTGAATGTGCTGAAGTGGGGCTTTGGGGGGAAAAGAGCCATTTCTAAGCAGTGCAGTTGAGTTGGCAAGTTGCTTTGTTTTCCTTTGGCTGTTGTATTGGATGTTTGTGGTTGGATAAGAGCTCAGCTTTGCCTGCTGCTGCATCTCCCAGTGAAGATGGAGCCCTGTGTTTAACATCGCAAACTCTTGCCACAGGGAAAATTACTTACAGGGAGAAATCTCTTATCTGAAGTCACATCTTTGTTAGTCATCAGCTTTTTCATGCTGCCTTTGATAGTCTAGTGAGAAAGAAACAGTTTCTGTCGTAAACGATAGGTTCTGTGGTTTTTCCAGACATGAAAGACACTCTTGAAAATGACTCTTCCAGTAAATATTGTCGATGAATAAAAAAGAACAAATTCACTGGCAGATTTTCTGTAGATTTTCTTTTGTTTTCCATGTCATTCTTCAAACTTTGTTTCCATTGGAAGCTCCGACTGGGGCCACGATATACAGTAAATTACAAGTGCTGGCTGCAGCAGGAATGAGCATCTTTTGGATTTGGCTCTCTAGCCAGAGAAGAAAGAGAGCAGCTGCTCTCAGTGATTGCTTGTTTTCGTTCTCTGCCCTGCTCCACACTGGTGCATGTACCATGCAGTGAGAGGTCCTGTGTGGGTACTGAGGATGCCACTTCCTCACCTTGCCAACCCTCCCAGCTCCTTGGAAACTACTTCTAATGTAAACATTATAGAGATATTGCTCAGTACTGCTAATTTATCACTTCTACCAGATGGGTAGTAAGTAGCCTATTAACATTCACAAAGTGAGGGTCCAATTCCTTCACATTTCTAAACACATCACCCTGGGATTCCTAAGATTTATGGCATGGAGTTTTCCCATGTTCCAAGCCCCTTTGCGGGGCCTTTAGGCTCTCAGAGGTGCCTGACGTGCAGGGGGGCTGTAGGTGGTCAGCAGAGAGTACCCTGCTCAGGGAGCTCTGGGGAAAGGAGCACAGATTTGGAGAATGGCAGTCTGACAGAGTTTGAAATCAGGTATTTCATTCATTTTGGCCCTATGTGCAAAATCCAGACTATTCTGAGACTCCCAAATATTCCAGTTACGGTGAGGAGCCATTGTGGCTGAAGTGGGGATAAGGTCAAACGTGCAAGTTTGTGGTGCGGGAACGAGGAGGTTCATACGCTGTGCTCGTGTAGGTTTCTCAGAAGACGAGCAGGTTTTTGAGCCCAATTCTCTACCTTCAATATTGCCATTTTCCTAATAACACCCCTTTCTCCAGCTCACTTCTTTTCTCCCCCTCCCCCAAATCCCAAGCCCCTTTGTCTGCCCCACAGAACAACTTCTCTGTCTTTATGGGATAATTAGTGTGGACAATTGCTGCTTTTCCCATTGGGTTTGAGGTGCAGTGAGCCATGAAGGAATCTGTAATGACATGAAAAGTCACTGGAGGCGCGGATGGTGGCTGAATAGCAACAGTTACCTCTCTGAATAGATTAAATTAAAAAAAATAAAGCTTTGTGTTCAGCCGGGGGAAGGGAGGATTCACTAATCTTTTTGTACGTGACAATGTGGTTTTGTATCTCAGCAGCTCAAGGAAGAAATCAGGCGGGGCTTTGCCGGACTGGAGGACCCTCTGGCAGCACTCCTGGCCATGCTGGAGAACAGCAGTGATTGGAAAGGGAAAGGGCATTCCCTGGGGTATTACATCACCACGGAGCTGCAGCTTTGGATAAAAGAGCATCCTGCTGTTCCACAGGTTAGAAGAGAGTCGGGGGACAGGAGAGAGCGATTGTTTTTAATGTGCCTCAAATATCTCCAATTTCACTTTATTCCACAGTCCAACATCTTCTCTGTAGCCTTATACACAGTGTGACAAGGTGTGAAACTCTTACTGAGATGTTACCTGTGGCATGCTGGTCTGAAAATGAAATCATATTGGAAGCTGTGATGCCAGAGCTCTGTTTCCCATCCCAAGTTGGGATTTCCATCTCTCCAGATCAAACCACTGTGATGGAGCGTGGATCTTGCAGCCTTTCCAGGCTGGAGGCTCTCCCACTGCAACTCTCATCCCTGCTGTCAGGATAAACCCAGTTGCAGTAATCTGCTCTGTGTGTTCTTCCAGCTCTGCAAATAGAAGCCAGTTACTGTAGGATTGCTTAACTCCTGCCATATGGTGGGAATGCAGAAAATGGGAACAGTCTGCCTTTTCAGCAGCCGAATGATTAGTTCTGTAATGTTGGGTCATCAGATTATACTTCCTAATGTTTACCATTCCTTCTGCCTTCCCATGTTCTGACCTATACAGAAAAAAGGTTTTCTCTTTTTTGTAAGCTTTTGGCTCTAACTGCAGGATATTTTTATATTTGTGTTGCTTCCTTTCACATTTTTCCAAATGGCTCTGGTTAGATGTTGAGCTCTGCCATTACAGGATCTGCAAAATGCAGTGAAGTGCTACTGGCACTGAAATTCCTGTGTCATGAGTGTGGGAAATTCCTGTGTCATGCTTGATCATGTGGGAAACACAAGGATTAATTCCTGTGTCTGTGCATCTTTTGATGGTGCTTTTCCTTTTCCTGCCCTTCTTGCACCCAGGAGCAAGCCTGGGAGTGAAATGGAATTCTCATGCCTGACAGGTGAGATCTCCCTGGAGGGGAGTCGCTGGATTCAAAGATTTTCTGTTGGGAACTAGAGAGGAGAATTTCTGAAGAGCTGTGCTAGTTCAGAGGGCATGTTTCCAGTTTCAGATTTTACTTTTGCACAAGGCCATATCCCTTCTCCAGAATTATCCCACAAACTTTTCATGTTTTTGAATTGGATGCTGTGAAAAAAACATGTATCATATTGTTCTGATTTCTGCTTGCAGACTCCATGGGGAAATCGGAGAATCCCTTCCAAAGGAATTGGCTCATTCTCTTTAAACAAGCTGCATTTCCCACTGCCATTGAACCACAGCCATCTTTACTAAACCTGTGTTTGATTTTTGTTTTCGTTTTCTCAAGTCTGGCATCCAGCTGAAGAAGCTGCAGGCCCGTGTGCTCAGAATCCTCTCCCAGTGCCCAGCTAATCTGCTTGACCCCCTGATCAGCATTTACCAGCTCCACACAGCAGACCGGAACTATTTGCTTGAACATGTCAGTCATCTTTATCTCAAGGGCAATTACAAAGAGGTGGGTCATGTCTTTCAAATAAATTTACCTTCCCAGCTCTCTGTGAATGTCCGTGTCCTTTTTTTTGGATGCATTTCAATGCGAATTCCATTTCATCCCAGCAGCTGCAGGCTGTGAATGCTGCAGCTTAGCAGGCTCTTTCCCTGTACAGGAGCTGTGTCCAGCCTCGGCTGTTCTGCTGGCTGAGTACAGAATGCCAGGGAATCCTCCCTCCACTCCTTCTCTGACATTGGAAAGTAATAGGTTAATAGGGTTTAATTTGGAGAATTTAAGGGGATGGTTGTGTTCTTTTTTGTTTTCCCTGTCTGTAGCAAGAAACGAAGGGATTTTAGTAGCCGGTCATAGACCTGCTGTCCTGTCTCCAGCCTGCCTGCAGCTAGAGGGCTTGGAAAACTCAGTGATTGCCCCAACCTCAGTTCTCAGCTGGAGGAGTTTTGAAGCCTCTTTACCATTGAGGCTCATGTTCAAACTGTGTAACTGCTCCTGTATCTGAGCCTGGTGGCTGATACAGACAGGAGTTCCCCACACCCAGGAGTGTGTTTTACCCTGGGGTTACAGCACCGCAGCACCTCTGGCATCACGGACATACCCTGGTGGCCTTGGGAGTTCTCATCTTCTCATGAGCAAACTACAATAGTGCCAGTGCTTTAGATGAGATATTAGGGAGGAATTCTCCCTGTGAGGGTGGGGAGGCCCTGGCACAGGTTGTCCAGAGCAGCTATGGCTGCCCCATCCCTGGAAGTGTCCAAGGCCAGGTTGGACAGGGCTTGGAGCAACCTGGTCTAGTGGAAGGTGTCCCTGCCCATGGCAGGGGGTGGAACTGGGTGGTCTTGAAGGACCCTCCCAACCATTCTATGATCTTTCTGTTTTAAAGACAAAAACTATAGGTTTCTTTTTCTCCCATGAAGGTGGTTCACTTGGATGGTGTAGAACAACTTGACCTTGTTTAGCCAAAGGAAAATCTCAAGTAGCAGCATTAAAAATCCTGTTCTGTAAAGCTGGATTCCCGAGTGAGATCCTGGAATTCCATTCTTGTTGATTTCTTCACTCAAACAAAGATATTTTGTATTTGGCTCAAAATTCCCAGGTAGCTGCTGGATACTCACTCTTTTGCTCAGAAAGGTTTTGAATGTGTTTGACAGTTGTAACAGAAATGTCCTATTTGACTATATTCAAGTGGGATTTTTTAAGTTCATGGCTCCAAAGATATTTGTTGTTTTCATGAGAAATACAGTTCTTTCTAGATCTGGTTTTGGAAAGCTGTAAATTTTTTTTTGTGGAATTGTTTTTCTGTTCTTTCTTCCTCAGCAGAGCTCACTTACTGCTCATTCCCAGTGTGAAGAACAGGAAACCTCAACAGCTTCTCACTCTCAGCCATAACTTTCTTCTAGTTTTGTTTTGTTACCAGACGGATGAATAGAAATATCTTCAAAAATAACAGGAAATCTTTTACTGCCCTTGGGGACTGAACATACCTCAGTTCACAGCAAATAACCCCAAACAACCTGGAGCTCAGGCTCTGAGCACTGCAGTGGGCTGAGGGTGTCTGTCCATCCTGCTATTCCCCATCTCTCGGCTGGAGCAGTGGAGCAGATTCACATGTAGGATTTTTGGCTCTTCAGTCTCTCACCTGAAAGGACAGAAACCAATGCAAATCCTGGCTACCATTATTATTTTCTTGCTGTGTTTGCAATAAGACACCAGGTGTTTTACAGTTCAGTACTTAAAGGGGCTTATAAAAATGAGTAAGAGAGACCTTTACATATATAATGGCCAGTCTTCGCGAGCGAAGATCCAGGGAAGGTCTTTACACCTTCCAGCCTGCGCATTGGATTTTTTTTTTTAGGTGAGACACAGTGTGCGCAGAACTGAGCCCACCCTTTAATCCTAAGGTTCATCTGCCGGGGCCAAGCGAGCTTGGACGGTGGCAGCGAGGTCCTTAGGACGTAGATGGGTTGCCTTTAAGGGCTAATGAGCTCCACCTGCCCGGGAGTGGCCCTGACCGGGAATCGAACCCTGGTCTCGGCGGTGACCGTGCCCTTACCACTAGACCACCAGGGGCTCCAGACCTTTACATGAGCAGAAAGTGATAGGACAAGGGGCAATGTTTTAAACTAAAAGGGAGAAATCAGTTATTAGGAGGAAATTCTTCCCTATGAGGGTGGGGAGGCCCTGGCACAGGTTGGCCAGAGAAGCTGTGGCTGCCCCATCCCTGGAAGTGTCCCAAGGCCAGGTTGGACGGGGCTTGGAACAACCTGGGCTGGTGGAAGGTGTCCCTGCCCATGGCAGGGGATGGGATGGGATGAGCTTCCAAACCAAACCAGTCTGTGATTCCAGGATTTATTGTAGAGCAGATTATTCCCTGTGTCTGTGGTTTGCCAGCCATGGATTTCCACACCTCTGCCCAGCAGGTTAAGGCTCCTTTCCCTCATGGAGGTTTTGGAGAAAGTTCCCTTTGGCAAATGAGATCCCAGAGCTCCCTGGGCATGGCCATGGTCGTTATTTGTTTCTGAAGTGAATCCAACTCTCCTTTGTGCCTGGTTTTAGTGAAGCTGGTGGGAGGCTGAGCGGGTTGAGGGCACTGTGGGAGGGCACAGGGCTCAGGAGATCCCTGTCGTGGCCTGGCACGGTGCAGGTGCTCGGGGCTGGTTTGGCAGCACAGGCTGTGGTGAGCAGGTCCCGCTGGTAGCGCTGCCAGCGGATGGCACTAGCGCTCCCGGGATGCAGGGAAACCACGGGTACAGCGGCCTGGGAGAATGCAGGGACATGTGACTGGGGGGTTGAGGTGTCCGGGCTTTTGGGGGTTTATCCATCCTGTTGTGAATGGAGTGTGCAGCTGCTGGAGGAGCCCTGGGCACTGGGAGCAGGGTGAGGGGCTCCCAGCTCTGCCATCATGGCCCCCACAGTGTGGGGAGATGGGAGGCTTTAACATTCCCACTCAGGGAGTTCCAGCTGAAGTGTAGCAGCTTTGTCCCCTTCCCAGAATCCCTCCAAAACCAGCCATGGCTCCGTGCTGCCCTCAGCCTGGGCTGTGCCAGTGGTGCCAGAGCCCAGCCATGCTGCCAGGCCGATGTGGTGTGGGAAGAGTTCTGGGGAACCCAGTGTGGGAAGGGCTCTGGGTGCCGGGGCTGTGTGGGAAGGGCTCTGGGGGACCCAGATGTGGTGTGGGAAGGGCTCTGGGTGCCGGGGCTGTGGTGTGGGAAGGGCTCTGGGTGCCGGGGCCGGGACAATGCGGGGATTCAGCAGACCGGGGGTAATGCAGCGCGAGCGGGGCTGCGAGAGGCCCTGAATAGGCCAGGCTGTGCTGGAGAAGAATGAGGGGTAGGCAGAAGGCAAGCTAGTGTTTCATGGTCATCTTATGTTACACTTCAGCCTTTCAAAGAGTGTCTGGGGCTGGTTGAATGAACCTCTCTTGCACTGCGAATGCGGGAGCCCAGAGACAAAGGGGACTCTTGTCACTCGCAGGCCCCTTTGGGGAATAAAAGCCATTGTCACATGAACAGGGGCAGTCTGGCAGGCTGTGCATGCTTCAGTGCCCCATGATATCGCTAAGTCTCAGCAGAAATCACATTCAGGGCCCTGTCAGCTTTGATTAGCGGGGTCTCATGACTTAATGTGCTGCGATATTTCATGTCTAAGGGTGGCGGCTGTCTTTCTGGGGGATGAATGCCCTCTATTGTCCACTGAGTTATTTTATTTACATTTTTTTAAACAGCTTATAAAGGTAAAAAGATAGCTGTGCTTAAAGAAAAAAATCAAATTCCTTTGCTTCTGGATCAGCAGTGTGCGCTGCTCAGGTCAGATACAGTGAAACTTGTTTTCACAGTCAGCATCAAAGTTCTCGTCTTGTTTAACAGCTTTATAGTAAATTCTGAACAGGTGGCAGTGGAGCTGGGTTTAGGAAGGAAACAATAAATAATCTTTTTAGCCTCTGACAACCAGAAATATTCTTGGGCCTGAGAGACCTCCCACTCCAGCCTCTCTGTGTCGGTGATTCGCAGCATTCTCTCCCCTTCATCACTTTGCTTCTTAAACAAGAATACTGGATGAAGCTAGTAGCATTTTATTTTTAACAGGCTTTTGGTTGCTGCCCATTCAGATTTCTCTGTTTTTAAAAATAGAGTATATTTTCTTTACTAGTGTTTCATCCATTAATTTCTACATATAAGGAAGGATCATTCCATATGTTAAATTTGATTCGTTTGCTCTTTCAATTAAGATAACCTGGGTTATCTATTAGAGTTCAGTTGTTAAAATTTGCCATAAAATATGTACCCAGGGAAAAAGCTGTTAAGACACAGAATTTCATGTTTTTGTCAGCAATACATACTCCTGCAGATGTAATAGAAAGGGTGGTTGATCAGAGTTAAACTCAAATACTCAAAGGTGTAACAATGACCAGTTCAATCCCCACCATGACCTTCACTTTCAGTGCTATGATGCTTTGAACACCAGGTTAGGGGTGCTGGTGTTTGTACTCCTCCTTCATACATAGTGCTGGAGTGCACACGATGCATCTTTGCAGATCTGTCAGTAGAGATCAGTGTTAGCATTGATCAGATTCTGGATTCCTTCACTCTGAGTTTTTTTGAGCTGTTCTCAGGCCAGGGAAACGTCTCTGATACTGCTGCTTCCCTCCATTCACCACCTCAGTTATACAAAGGCTTGTTCAACTTTTGCTGTGTTTTAAGGCCTGTGCATTTGAGTTTCCTTGTTTCTTTTAAATTAAGAACCATAATGGAGAGGAAAACAGAGGAAATGTTACAGCAGTTGTTTCTCACGTAGAGATGACAACGTTAGTCTCAACCTTTTTCTCGTATTAACTTGCTCTGCTGCTCAAGGACAGCTTTACTGGCATGTTTCCTGCCAGATGATTCCCCTCCAGAGCAGAGCAGCCAAACCCTGGCCATGCAGGGGCCACTGCCACCTGGTCCCGACCTTGCAGCTTTGGGAGAGGCTCTGCTGGTGGCCTGTGCCTGGGGAGTGGTGGGGAAGGAACC